GTATATAAGCCTTCTTGGTGCATGATTATAGTTGCATAATTGATAATCGCTTGTTGGGAAATTCTGTTTTATAATTATGTTGTGCACACATAATTAATATTTCCCATTTTTTATTTTACGATTTCAGTTTCCGCTTTTACGCAACTATCCTTTGTGAAGGCTCTCAATGGGACTAACTATGATGACTGGAAAGAGTCCCTGAATATGTATCTGACCATTTCTGAGAAAGATTTAGCTCTGAGAGAACCCAAGCTTGTGGATCTCTCTTCTGAGTCCAGTGCTTCTGAAATGGCCTTCCATAAACAATGGAGTGAGTCCAATGAATCTGTCTAACGATCATCAAGTACACAATTAAAAAGGAAATTAGGGACAGCATTCCTGAAAAGCATACTGTAGTGGAGTACTTGAAAGCTATTAGTAACAAATACAAGAAGCTTGACAAGACTCAAAAGAACTACTATCTGTCACTTCTTGACAATACTCAATATGACGGAGTTTCTAGTGTCAGGGAGCACATTCTAAAGCTTGTTCATTACTATAACAAGCTTAAGTCATATGGGATTGATTTGGGTGAAAGTACCTTGGTTTACCGTGTTCTTCAATTACTACTATTAGAGTACGCATTCTTGAGGACTTCATACAACTCACAAGAAGCTGAATGGTCTATTGACCAGATGATATCGATAGTCACTCAAGAAGAGGAAGCTATAAAGAAGAATTCCTCTCACTCAATAAACTATGTTTCTTATGGCTCTAGCAGCAAATCTGGAGGGTCATATAAGAAAAAGGGGAAGAAGCATGATGTCCTAAAGCCTAATAATCCAACCTTTAAGAAGGATAGTGATAAGAGTGAGAAGTCGAGGAAGAAACCCTTTAAGGGGTTATGCAATTATTGCAAGAAACCGAGTCACATTAAAGCTAATTGCTTCAAACTGAAGAACAAACAAGAAAGTGAAGGTACAACTCTTCAAACTGCCCCTCTAGCTCTAATCTATTTTGAATCTAACACCATTGAAACTTCCTTTGACTCATGGTGCCTGGATTCTGGTGTCACTGTACATGTTGTGAATTCTCTACAGGGGCTAAGAAACCAAAAGGTTCCAAGTGAGGCACAGAAGTTGGTCTTTGGCATAGCAGGGAGTAAAGCATCCGTTGAATGCATTGGAACTATTTCTTTGTATATAAATTTTGGTCATGTTTTATATTTGAACAATGTTGTTTATGTACCTTCTGCGAAGAGGAATTTAATTTCAACTTTTGCATTGAATATTTGTGGCTATTCATTCTTTCAAGGAAATGGAAAAATTGACATTTGTTTTGATTCCATTAATGTTGGTCTCGCTTCCTTGATATATGGTTTATATCGATTGAATGATTGGTTACTTGAACTTCCTAATCTCCATATCAATGCTGCTATTAGCCATAAACGTCAAAGGCGCAATGATAATCCTCTATGTTATGGCATCGTCGTTTGGGTCATATCTCTAGAGAGAGATTGGAGCGCATGACCAAGCAAGGTGTCTTACAAGACCTTGATTTCTCAGATTTTGAAACTTGTGTTGACTGTATAAAGGGAAAATTCCCTGCTAGAGCTAGAATCAAAGGGGCAAAGAGGTCTGAAAATACTTTAGACCTAATCCATACTGATATTTGTAGACCTATCACACCTCCAGCTATGGGTGGTTTTAGATATTTCATCACCTTCATAGATGATTACTCTCATCATGGATGGATTGAACTCTTGCGTGAAAAGGGCAAGTCTCTTAATGCATTCAAGACTTTTAAAGCAGCAATCGAATTGAAATCTGGCAAGTTTATCAAATGTGTGAGATCTGATAGAGGAGGAGAATTTTATGGGAGATATACTGAGACTGGTAGGAACCCTGGGCCATTTGCTTTGTACCTTTAAGAGCATGGCATTAAAACTCAGTATACTATGCCTGGCACCCCGCAGCAAAATAGGGTTGCAGAAAGGCGAAATCGTACTCTCATGGATATGGTTAGAAGCATGATCAGTCACTCCTCACTACCAAAATTCCTGTAGGGTGATGCACTTAAAACTGCTATTTATTATTTGAATCAAGTTCCTAGCAAGTCAGTTCCAAAGACTCCATATGAGTTGTATTTTAGAAGGACTCCTGTGCTGAAGCATATACGAGTTTGGGGTTGTAAAACATAGGTAAAACCTTACAATCCACAACAGATGAAGCTTGATGCTAAAACTGTTGATAGTTTCTTTATTGGCTATTGCATCGAATCTCGTGGGTACAGATTCTATTGTCCAAATCACACTACTAGGGTTATTGAATCTGACCGAGTTTGTTTCTTTGAAGATGCCTTAACAGTGGTAGCTCTGTGCCTAGGCATATTACTTTGCATGACAAAAGTAGCATTTTGCCTATCCCTATCTTGACAACCCCTCATGTTGACAGAATAATACCATGGATCAGGATGAAGCTCAAGATGAAACCAGAAATAGGTCCCAAAGGGTTCACAGGTCTGCTATTCCAAATGATTACATAGTGTATTTGTAGGAATTTAATTCAGATGCTATTGATAGTTTAGACCCAATATCTTACCAAGAGGCTATTTCTAGCTCGCATTCTTCTGAATGGTTAGAGGCTATGAGTGAAGAAATTGCCTCTATATACCGCAATCACGTATGGGAGCTTGTAAAGCTACTAAAGGGTTTTAAACCAATGGGTTGCAAGTGGGTCTTTAAAACAAAACGAGGAGCTAGAGGTGAAATTGATAGATATAAAGCCAAACTTATAGCTAAGGGCTACAACTAGAAAGAAGGTATTGATTACACAGAAACCTTCTCTCCGGTATCCACCAAAGATGCTTTTAGAGTGGTAATGGCTTTAGTTGCATAGCTTGATCTTGATCCTCACCAGATGGATGTCAAGACTGCGTTCTTGAATAGCGATTTGTATGAAGAAGCCTACATGACACAACCTGATGGTTTTGTTGAATCTGGTAAAGAACATCTAGTATGCAGATTGAAGAGATCCATCTATGGGCTAAAACAAGCCTCTAGGCAGTGGTATCTGAAATTTAATAAAGTTACAGTTTTGTTGAGAATATCTTAGATCAGTGCATCTATCAAAAGTTTGATAGGAACAATTTTGCCATTCTTGTTCTCTATGTTGATGATATCTTGTTAGCCAGCAATTCAATAAATTTCCTCAATGAGATAAAGCACCTATTGTCTTGTCATTTTGACATGAAGGACATGGGTGAAGCCTCCTTCATTCTTGGGATACAGATTTATCATGATAGATCTCGTGGTATTCTTGGTTATCACAGACCACTTATATTGAGCGGGTACTTTAGAGATTCAAAATAGATTCATGTTCTCTCTCACCTGCTCCTGTACAGAAAGATGAGCTGTGTTATTAGAGTTACAGTGTCCCAAGGATGATAAGAAGAGGGCTGAAAATGTGAAAGATACCATACGCTTTCGCTGTCGGAGCCTTATGTATATTCAAGTGTGTACTCGACCAAATATAGCATTTGCCATTAGAGTACTGGGTCAATACTTAAATGATCTAGGTCCGAATCATTGGAAGGCTGCTAAGAAAGTTATGAGGTATCTTCAAGGTACAAAGAATTATATGTTGACTTAGAGAAGGTCAAATTCTCTTGAGGTTGTTGGGTATTCTGATTATAACTTTAAGGGATCAAAAGATCTTAAAATTGTTGGCTTTTCAGATTCAGATTTTGCTTCTTGTCTGGATGATTGTAAATCCACGACCGGCTATATTTTCATGTTGTCTGGAGGAGCTGTCTCTTGGAAAAAAGTGTGAAAAGACACTTACGGCAGTTTCATCTATGAAAGCTGAGTACATTACTTCTTTTGAGACTACACATCACGCTATATGGCTGAGGAAGTTGATATCTAGCATGCGCCTAGTTGAGTCAATATCACGTCCTCTAACCATTTACTGTGATAACAAATCTGCAGTATACTATGCTAATAATCACAGAAATTCCAGCCGTACAAAGCATTTTGATATCAAACTTATGTTTGTGAAAGAGAAAATTGCTGAGTCTCAAACCTGTGTGGTACACATTCCTGACACGCAGATGCTTACAGATCCACTAACCAAGGGCTTACCTGTAGAAGTTTTTTATAATCATGTAACTTGTATGAGTATTATGAATTCCTTAATGCCCTAGTTTAGTAAGAGTTTGAGAACCTTTTATGTTGCAATTTCTCTTTAGGCTTTGTTTCTTCTGTAAGTTATGTTCAGTTCAGTTAGATGCGTCTATATCATTTGTATCCCCATAGGATTCAATGATTCTGTTGTGGTACGCTATGCATGTCACTTGTTTCCCCATAGGAATCAGTGATTTATATTGTTATCTTATTGAGCTGTGTTTGAAATAAAATTTCATGTTTTATTCAGATTATGAGATATCATATCACTTGTTTCCTCATAGGATTCAGTGATTTTGTGGAGTTTCATTTTCTGAATTTTGTTGTAGCTTGTTTATACAACTTGCTGAATTAATGAAATCCAAGTGGGAAATTGTTGAAATATTATTTATGAATTAGCATTAATTAATAAGCCCGATAGATTGGTCTTTATGATCTTGTGTGGACCGTGATAGGTGAACCACACAAGTGAGCCCAATAGGCAGAGGCTCAACCCACAACCCAGTAGCCGTCAGTTATTCTATATCTATTAATTGACTGAGTTAGAGATAATGTGATATAATAATTAATTATATAATAAGGCAATTACCAATCTCATCTATATAAGCCGATCAGTCGATAACCGCAAAAACGACGACTCATTTTTCTGCTACTCTATTATCTCTGAACTCTGAAGACTTTTGGGGGCCTGTGGGTTGTGCACCTGTTTACACTCGAGGTAATCGAGGTTTTTCAAACGCTCATGATTCTTCAGGTACGCATATATTCTTTACTTTTCTTATTTATATGAATTGAGATAATGAATTATAATAACAAGATCACGTAATTCTCCTCCAAGTTTAGTCCTGTCATTTTGTAATTAAAAAAAAAAAAGAAACCTCCTTGCGTCTGCGCTTCTGCAATCACATGTAAGGTAATAGTAGTTTTACCGGAAGTCGCTGGACCATATATTTCCACAACACGTCCCTACAGATAACACACTGAAACATATTAATCAGCGCACACATTGCACACTGCAAAATAGTGTTGGCTCTTTCAGTCCTCCTTCCTATATACAAAAACCAATTTTGCAGGTGAAAACTGAAGGCGCACTGATTCATTTCCCAAACAGTTTTTCCTCAGAGCAAACTAGAAAAGCCAAATTGTCAATTATGAAGATTTATTAGTGATGACAATCTTATTACAGCTGGTAGCCACTAACATTTTTAAAGCCTATTCATATTCAATGAAGAGAAAGAACATCTTTAAGCAACGATCTAATGATACCTTTGGAAGTTCACCAACTCCTAGTGCTATATCAAGAGCAAAAGAACCAGTTGACACTATAGGTATAGGTACATTTTTTCAGAGACAGAGCGACGAAGCCACTAGATCCCTTTCTATGTGCAGAAGTGATCTGATCCAGAGTATGTTGTATAATATTCATGACTTAAACAATGTATTCCTCTTATAATTTTTATAAATTTATTAACTACTGTACAATAAGATAGTGGGGATTGGCAAGAAATAAGTGAATAAAATCTGTTGACATATAGCTTAACTAAGAACTGTGTAACTCAGTGAATTTTCTATGCTGATATGAAATACTTCAGAATATAAACCAAAATCATATATTTGTAATTTTAAAGACGTGAATCAAAGTAAGCAAGCAAGAACAGCACACAAGCCATAAAACAGGAAGTATGAAAATGCACCTGAGTGATAGTTTTATCATCTTACAATCAGTTGTGTGGTAACAAGAGGTTCAGCTTTGAGAACTGGCTGATACATGACTTTGTACAAAGTGGGAAAACTAAAATTTACCATCACAGCAGGATACGAAAATTAACACGTGAAAGATGTAAGAGGACCGTAAGAGAATATTCACATTTGGCTCCAGCCAAAAGATGAAACACTGTAGCTTCCTTCTATGCCATATAAACTGGTGAGAACAATCAGGGTTCTCACTCTTCAAGTTGGCATGTTGAAGAGCCTAAATACAATTTGCTCATCACCATTGCTGTTGCAGCAGATGCATCTATGTGAAGTGTGGACCCACTCTTGAAACCTGAAAACGCGCGCAAGCAATGTCAACATTGGGAAAAAGTTACTCCTTCCTGTATAAAATATAAACATTTTCTCTCAGCTAATTTGGGTCCAAACTATAAGGAACTTGGTATTTGTTTTAAAAAAGAAATTCCATTTTATCTCTTCTATTTATTAACCTTAATCCTCTTGTGTGTGAATTTATAACCTTCTCACGTATCATAAATTAAAACCAAGGGTAAAAAGAAAAAACAATATATATTTTTATCTGAACAAAAATTTTATTAATATGCAGATTATTGTTAAAAGCTGCTTATATTTTAGAGTGAGAGAGAACGTAATTATGAATCATACTTGAACGCTTAATCTTCTTAAGTTCAATAAAACCTTCTGTTCAAGTGGTAGTTCAATTCTTGTTCCTCCATTCTTGTGTTTAAAATTAATTTCAAAACACTATATATCCACATTTTAAGATAAAAAATAACATATAAAAATTGGCATGTGTTAAAGATGGTTGTAAAAGTATCCATAGCCCTTCACTTAATTCCTTACACTTTTGAAGTGGAACGTTTTGAAACATAAATTTAGATTTACCTTGTCATAGGAATCTATCAGATACAACCAGTTTGTCCCATCAATCCACCTGCAGATCCAACCCAATCAGCTGGTTTGCTAATCAAATCCTCCAATTCAAGATAGATATTTGAATCATTCACATCAAGCCCTTCATCAACAACAGAGTTTTCTTCCATCAGTTTTTCTGACACCATACAGCAAGCCGCAGAAGATGCTTCAGTAGCGCTTGCTCTTGAAGTATGGTCCTTAATCCCTATATAGGACTGCACGGTTCATCTTTCAGAGAAAAAGGGGCTGAAGGCTGCGTTCTGCTATCGTCTACTGTTTCAGACAAGAGTCCATTGAGGTCTGATTGCAATGAAGCCAAGTCCTTATAACCTTGTCTATGATCAACATCAGCAATGGTGTCCATGGCCTTAGGGAAGTTCAAAGGGGAATGGGTTCGAAGCAATCTGGGTCTCTTACCGATCTCACCCCCACTGAGCTCTCTTTTTCGCTTTACCTTCTCGATTAACTGCTGAACCAACGTCGGTCTTCTTGCCATTTTGGTCAGGAAATGCATCATTTGGCACTGCTTCAACTCAGCAGACCGAACTCGTTCTTTAACATTTACAAGCTGAACCTGTGAAGTCTCTTGTTGCTGTCTCAGCTTCAGCATTTCAACTTTCAGCATGTTCTGATCCTTCCGCAGTCTCTCAACTTCAGCCTCCAGGCCGGGTTTCATGGAAGTCAATGCTCCTCGTTGTTGCAGTTTGTTAAACTTGCTCCTTCTCCTGATGTTCTTCAGTAAATGCTTCTTTCCAGCCTGAAATCCCTCGTTGGCAAACTCCCAACGGTCTGAATCAATCTTCCGAAATCCCTGTACTCATATGATAAAGTTTAATGTCTAGACAGCACCAGGATTCATCGAGAAAAATACCGTAAAGTTTAATTAGTAAAACAATATAAAGTGACCATATGATATTGACGGTAAACTTTAAACCAAGACAGACAAAAATACAGAAAACGACATAAGCAATCAATTTAACGTCTGTAACAAAAATTTAGCCCACATGACTTTTTTTTTCTTCCCAAAAAATATACGAAGTTCAAGGAGAACAAAATCTCAAGTCTGGCGGATCACAAACATTACAATAATCATCCGTAAAATACGCATGAAACCCAAAGATTTTCTGTCTATCAGGAACCTTTGCAAGAAGAGAGACATTACAGAAGTTACAACCATGGACACAAATTATTCTCTTGGCTCCAATTGGAGGGGCAAGAAATATTTGAACTATTGAACAAGAGAAATTAGGTAGTATTACTCACGTATGTATTAAGCTGACGAATGAAGCTCGAAAAATTGCTGTGTTTGAAGTACTTAGAGAGAAGAATTTTGCAAAATTCGTGGGAATCCCAAACGATAAAGCTATCACGAGCTTCGCTCCAGGACACAATCGAGTCGGTCATCGGGTCCTCCACCATAGCGAAAGTCTTCTTGAGGAAAGGCGGCGGGCCAACCTCGTGCAACCCTTCCATCGGTTTCGGCAAGTCGACCGACGATGAGTACGACGATCCATTAACTCCAACACCGCCGTCGATATCATCCACCGCTTCACCCGGTTCCTCTAACTTGACGTGAACTCGCCCCTCATCCGTCACTTGTGAGCTCTTCCTTCCTGAATCCTCACTGAAAACTCCGTCATGTAGTTCACCTTCAACATCACAGTAGTCACCAGAGTTGGAATGATCGATGTCCTCATCAGACACCATTACTTGCTCTGATTTGACTCGCACTACTTCTCCCATAACTTCGTTCAATAGAACTGTAGAAATGGATTCTGACCGGCCACTATCGACGATTCCACCGGATCTGCCGTGGGCAACCACCATTTTGTCACTGCTTTATGCACAAGATTGGGTCTCTGCAGTGATACACCGCTTGAGCTCGAGAGTGCCAGAGTTAGAGGTAGAGAGAGAGAGAGGGAAAGAACAGGAAAAAGAGGCAAGTGATAAACTAGGCACTTTTTTACTTTATTTTCCTTTTATAGGTCATAAATAATTAAATGGTTTTTATTTTTAAACTTTAAATACTATTATAAACATATTATATTTGAAAAATTAATTAAAAAGGGAAAATAATAAAGAAGGGGACCAGCCAAAGCCAATCCAATTTTTAATGGGAAAAAAAGGAAAGGATAAAGAATTGAGTATATCTACGTAACTGTCCTTTTATGGAAATTGACTAATAGCCACGTGTCCTTGCTTTTTTGCCGTATGTGGCAATTCAGGGGGCCCACTGTCTCTTGTCCTCATTCAGTCGGTCATCTTCTGCGAATTCGTTCAAACAATTTTTAATATATTTGTATTTTTTTTAATGAAAATATGTTTGTATTTAATTGAAAAGTGAGAACATATTGGTGGTATTCTGAGCATGTTTGGTTTGACTCCGAGCCCAATTTGATGGCTCAAAGTGACGTTTGAATATTAATATTGGAAATGGGAGTTTTGTACTTCAGTCCTGAAATATATAATCACTTAAATAAATATGTTAAAAATATCCTAAAATATATATAAAATTAGTGTAGATAATATTCTTTTTGTTTCAAATTATAAGACACTTTTAGATAAAATCTCACATATCAATAAACCTTATTAAATACATCTAACAACTTTATTTTTTTAAAATAAAAATATAAAATTTAAAATATTCATCATTTAATATATTAAAAAGAGAAGAAATAAAAATTAATTATAGAGAGAGAAAGGGTGATATTAGAATTAGTGCATTTAATGAAAACTTAATCTATCCAAAATATTTTATATTTTGGAATAAAAAGACTCCTTCAAAAATACCCTGTAATTTGGGATGGAGGGAGTAACAATTATACATAATGAGTATAGATAAGTTTGGCCAAATCATGGTAATACACTTAGGTTTCCTAAAATATTAGGTGATAGGTTCGAAATTAAGATTAGTTAAGAAGCTAATTATTATTATTATTATGCTTTTGTGCTTATTTATCTATTAGATTATTTATTTTAAGTATGTTTTAGGATATTTTACTTCACAAGAATAACTTAAATCATTTGATTAGATGCATCCCAATTTATATATATTTATGATCTATCTTCTACTTTATTGATATCAGACTTTCTTTATCTCTAATATTATTTCTACTACTTTTTTTTTTTCATTTTTTTCTTACATGGGGTTATACTTTTTTCCTTAGCTTCTCTTTCTTTTTAATCTCTTGTTTCTTCTTCATCATCATCATATTTCATTATTTCTTTTCACCCTTGATTTTTTTTTATCCTTGATCTAATGAATCTTGATATCATATTAGATTCTTTATTTTAAGTATGTTCTAGAATATACTTAAACATAATAGTTTAAATTATTTAGTTAGATACATCTTAAATTTTATGTACTCATAATCTATCTTCTAATTTTTTGATATGAAGAGTAAATTAGCCCATAAATTATAAGTCTAAAAACATTTGGAATCATAAACTTATTTTTGTATAATTTTCCTTTCAACTTTTGAAGATGATCAAATCTAGCCTTTATCAATAACAAAATTAACTTTGATTATTAGTTAACTTAAAAATAACATAAAAGAATGTTATTACATATAAGGACCCCAAAAAATATAAAAATGGGCCAAGAAAATTTTATGATCCTTTGTTGTAATTGTTAAGGCCATTTTTTAACTAACTAATGATTGAAGTTAATTTTTACTAATGATAGGAGGTTAGATTACACTGTTCTTAAAAGTTCAAAGAAAAATTGTGCAAAAAAAAATTTAAAGTCTATAATACTCATGAACTTATAATTTAGGAGCCAATTTGCTATTTTACTCTATTATCAACACATAAATCATTTTAAAAAAATTCAATTAAACATAACTCTCCTTAAACTGAATTTTAAGAAAAAATCTCTAAATATAAGTCATCTTATAGTGATTAATTTTTATTCTCACTTTAATTTGTAAACTTTAGTTTTATGTATAAATTTTAATTCAAATGTACCCATTGCTTATTATGTCTAATTTCCAATCCAATTTATTAAAAATTATAGGGCAATTCAGTTCCATGATTCAAGAAATAGTTGGCCAACCAAACAAGCCATAATTAAACAATTATAATTTTTAAATAAAATTCATTAATCTTTAAGTAAATAAAATATTCAATCATAAAATTTTATACAAGTCTTTTCTTCATTGTTTTTTAAAAAAATAAAAAGAATAAAAAAAGTGGGGCAGTTGATGGAGGCCGAGCAGGAACGGTCGATGCGGTTACAGACGGCGGAATCATTACTGCCTGTCAGGACCTGCATGAGCACCACGTGTCACAATCTGCATGGATACCACGTGTCGTCTTCACAATCCCTAACCGCTTCCCTCCATTCCTCTCTGTCGTTTCGTTGATGGGACTTTAGCCACCCTCGCTTGCTTCCCCCCACCACTCGTATTCTTCTGCCCATGGTGCATTGCCGTTTAAATGATAATTTCATACTCCCTTTCTTAAAAGATAAAATATTTTTAAAAAGTTAAATATTTAAAAATATAAAAATTTTTAATTTTTTAAGATATAATCATTATTTTTTAAAAAAATATTTCTATTAATAGTGACTTTATATTTTTTTTCGAATTAAAAAGCCATGACAAGTCATGCATAAAGAGGAATTAAGTCAAGTCAAATCCCATAAAAAGACGACATCCTAAGGGGAACATCAAAAATTAAAGTATCAATATTATTGTTTGTGACATGTCGAGCAAGTCAATCTGCACACTTGTTAGATTCTCTAAATGAATAGTTGAAGGTGATAGTCCAATCCTTCATGGCGAGACATTTGATCTCTTCTATTGTGGCTTTGCGAGGATGATTCAGATTGTATTCACATTAGATAAGTGCCAGAGTTTCTAATAAATTGAAGTGAACATTAACTTGCTTGAAATTGCTCCTCCAACAAAGAATAAGACCTTCAAGGATATAGTAACTTTATATTTATTATAGAATATTTAATATGAGTAAATATGAAAAGATGAGATTAGTTTGAAAGTAAGTAACCACTTTATTGAGAATAAAATTTAATTAAAAATATTTTATATTTTCGAGCGAAAGGAGTACTTATTAGATAAGATCATATTTATGCTCGTTTGGTTTTCCATCAGTAAAAAGTCAATTTGTTAATTTTTTTAATGAAGATAAGTTGTTATAATAAAATTTATATGTAGATGTATGTGTTTTTAAAACTCAATTTAATAAATTAAAATTTATTTGAATAATGATACTAAAATATGCTTTTAAATGTTCAATTATTAAAAAAATTTGATTTATGATGATTTATAATTTTCATTATATAAATATAATATGTTTAAAATGTTAAAAAATATGATAAAAATTTTAAATAACATAAATTTTAATATATTGGACTAAAATTATATAAACAACTGAATATATATATATATATATTAATATTAAAATTTAAAATGATTAATTATTCAATTTATATTGTTTAAAACTTGATCTCTAATTATTATTATTTAAATAATAATTATAATTTTAATGAATTAATAATATTTTTAAATAAAAGAACAATATATTAAATTTGCGATAGCATAATTAAATAACATCTTTTTCTTTTTTTAAATTTACTTTTTACAAGCTCCATCTTCTTACATCTGTCAAATTCATTTTCAATAATATTCTCAAAATATTTTTAAGATCTATTTTCACCTCCTTATTTTTTCTCAAACAACCACATCCTAAAAGTGAAAAAGTACTTCTCAAAAGTCAAAAGTGATGTACCCAAACATTTCCTTCATGTTATGGAAATCTAAATCAAATTGTATAGTTAAACCATTAAACTAGTATATTGATAAGTTTAATAAAATGATTTGTTTATGACTGAATTGATTATGGTTCAACTACATTTTTAACTATTAACCATTAAACCTGTGCTTTAATTAGTTCAATGACTTATCAATTTTTAGTATGTTGATTGAGTAGATAATTAAGGTAAAAATAAAAATTTAATACTCTCTTCATATCAATTTATAAAGCTATTTTAAAAGTGATTCATAGTTTTAAAATATAAGATATTTTTATAAAAATAAGGTTTTATTAATTATATTTATTTCATATTACCATTTCTTCCTTATTATATTCTTTCTCTATTTAATATTTTACAAATAAGGTTTTATTAAATGAAAGGCTTTTTGAAAATTTATATTTTAATTTTAAAAATAAAATTATAAAGTGTATTTAAAGAACTTTCTTTAAATATATACTTTTTTAAAATAAAAGTGTGTTACAAATTAGGATAAAGAGAGTATTGCTTAAAAAGTATTGCCTCCTTTGAGTATAACTATTGAGTATAATAAGAGTTTGGGAAAATATATTTGCAAGTACTTACTGTTTTACTCAACTTTAAATTAGGTCACTGTAGTTTATTTTATTTTGATTGAGCTCTTATAGTTTGATCAATTAAATTTTTCAAACCTTGAAGGTTAAAATTCTTAAATTTTTCCTTTTTTAAAAAATAAAATTAAGAACTTTTTATATTTTTATTAAATGATTATATGACTTTAGAAGTAATTACATAATTTTTATAACTCAAAATTTGTACAATTAGGTTCCCTTCTAAATATTTTAATACATATATAATCTTCTTAAAAAATTAATAAAAATATAAACAATGTATTAAATCAAATTTTCTTATTTCAATTTTTTCTAAAAGTGTTAAATTAAATTTTTTGTAACTCCAAGAGTATTTTTTTTGGAAAAATTTAATAATTCATTATTAATTTTAACCTTCAAGGTTTAACATATATAATAGATTAAATTATAAGGACTTAATTAAAAAAAAATAAACTACAAGGACCTTATTAAAAATTAAGTGAAACTGTAAGAATTTATAGATATATTTTTTATAAGACCTTTAACTGAATTATACTGCTAATAAATTAGTTAATTATTTTTATGTT